TTTCCCACTTGTGGGAGGCCTGAGACTCAATCTGGTGCCTGCAAAGGCAGCCCAGGAACCAGTGCAAGAGCACCACACAGCGGAACAAGGCTGAGCTTTATATCATTATGAGGTTCTCTTTGACCACAGAATCAGCCATGAAGAAGAGAGAATACCCTGATTTTCATCATTGATGTCAAGACCGAGGCAAACACAGGAAACTGCACAATACTGATATGGTCAAAGTCACATATTGGTTGAGTGTGAAGTCTGGTCTGAAGGCTTGTGGCTGTCTGGCCTAGTGTCCTAGCTGAGACACTAGATCCACAAAGGGGCTTGGGTATCAAAATGTCTAATTTACTACAGCTGCTTAATAAATTTTACAATATTCAGACCAAGCCTTTAGGATAAGGGAGCATTATCCCCTCTCTTAACACTGGAGGGGAATCAGAGAATATTAGAGATATAGTTCAGGGTAAGTCCCATCAAAGTCAGCACATCAAGATCAAAACTGCCTACAGATCAAAAGAACCTCAGGGTCCTGAGGGCACCAATAGGCCTTGGTGGCCCTGACCAGCCTCAGCTGGGGTCTCAACCCCACCAACCATGGGTCCATTTAAGTTGGGCTGCTGGGCCGTGTCAGAACCTGGTTACCCTTATTGGACGTGATCCTGACCTTGTGTGGCTGATTTGCATTTCTGGCTTGACCTCAGTCCTGTCTCATCGCTACAGACTTGCTTCATGACCAAGACTCTTGGTTGAGGCTGCCCCCAGCTTGCCCTGCACCCTCACTGGAGGCAGTGGGATGGGCCAGCTAGGCTCCGTTCTTCCAGATCCCACCCTGGTGATATTCCCTGTGAGAAATCATTTTAACACAGAACAAGTAAGAATAACGTAGTGATCTGCTCAAAACACTTTTTCATGGCACAGAATTCTTCCAAGTACAGTAAACGTTGCAAATTCCAGATTATTGGATATAACTGCTAAAGGGCTAAGTTGTGAAAGAAAAATCAGGAGTTACGACCGTAACATTAGATCTTAATTCTGATGCAGAATTTTAAAAGCTGTTTCCCACTCCTCTCCAGAACCTGCTAACATCCTGTCTAGTAAACTTTTAAGCCTATGGAGGGATCATTGAAGTCCTAGAGACATGCAGAAGCAGAATCCTCTGTGCTTTGAAGATCTACAGGAGCTTTTATGAGGCCTCTTGCATAGTTACACACCAGTCGTTGATCTTGGCTCTCATAATCCAGACCCAGATTCTCCCTTGTGTACTATGAAGCAATGAAACATGAATTATTACACTAGATGGAATATTTTTAAGAACAGGAAAGGAAGTTACAGTATGTTGGTAAACATATTATGCTCTTATTCATCTTAATTGCCATTATTAAAAGGCTGTAACTTCTTTCAGTTTGGGTGACCTGGAGCTATAAAGCCACCAACTGCAAGTTAGATAGGTGTGTCATTGCAAGATATCAGTTGCTCCTAAAAATAATCAGAATAACTGACTTCTCTTTGAGGGAAATTTGAAAGGCTTGCTCTGGATCCTGCTCTCCTGTCAAAACTTCATTTCCCTCTCAACACTGTTGTACTAGAAATATATGGTTCACAAACCTCACACTATTTATGACAAAGTTTTCTATAATTTGACCTATATTCTTCTCAGTGTTCTGGGAAAAAAAAAAAATTCCCCTATTTTGTAATCCTGCAAAAGTGATTGTCCCACATTATGAAAAATGGTTAATTATATATTTGAGGGATAGTTTGACTTCCCCTTTCTGACATTGGCTCTGTAGCAGGTACCAAGGAATGCACAGACTCTCACCCAGCACTCCTGGGACAGAATTTGTTCACTGTGCCAAACGTAATTTCAAATGGAGGAATTTGACTAGAAGAGTTACAAGTCCACTGTTTAATTACAAGAATGAAAGAAAGAAAAAAATATGTGACTAAGAAAGAAATGCATTTCCTGTTTTGTTCCTTTTTAATGTATTTCTAGTGCAAAACACTAAAGGTATGAATTTCATTCCTGTAGCAACAGCTCTCACAAAGGCTTCTATTTTAGTCCTTACATTTGTAAGAATATATCAGCAGTAGCCTTGATCAGGTACCTGGTTAAGTCGATTCTGCTGGTTGGTCAGCTTAACCCAGAGCAAGCTGCATGGCGTGGGGCAGGCAGCAAACTTCAGCTCCAATGCAAAGCAGAGCACTCCACACTGCATTTTAAGCGACCATCATAAAACTAGGGTATCGCAGAAACTACACGATGAATATTCTCAGGAGCAACACACAAAAATTTTCAACATTACCTAACAACAAAACCCATGTTTTGACTTTGCATAATAGCATAGTTCACAAACATTTTAAAGAAAAACTTCTCATTTTTTAACTTTTACTTCTTTTGTCTTAACCTTTCAGCAAGCTTTCAACATCAGTTTTCTATGCAAGGCAAAAAAATAATTCCATACCTGGACACAACAGAATATTAAGGGAAGGTGAATGAAGCTATAACAACTTCAGCACATGAGCCTTCCAACAGGAATTCATGGGGGATGAAAAAAAAAAAAAATGCAAATGATTCTATTTAAGAGAGAAAGCAAGTCAGACCAACTGCCTTCCAGTGCAAAACATAAAAACCTTTCAAAATTACTGTTGTATGTAAGAATTAATTCCAGACAGAAAAGGAAGTCAAGTTTACCTACATGTTCTGAAGTAATGGTAGAAACAGAATGAATCTCATCTACAAATGTAATCAGCTCAGTTTAGTTTTTAATCAGTCATTAAAAATACCATTTAAGAAGAGCTCATTCCTGTTAAACAGGTTAATAAAAAATTAGCTTAGTGGTAAGTTCAGCATGCTTCATTGTACTCAAAAATACAATGTTTCACATTTTATAGAATAGCTTTATTATCAAATGACAGGAGACCTTTAGTAATGATGTCATGCAGGTATCACAAAAAAATTCCAAAAGATTCAACAGGTCACCCAACAGCTCAAAATTCCTTGCAAACGAAGACACACCTTCCCGATTTTCTGGTGCACTGTAGCCACTGTTTTCCTGTCAAAATGTTATGGCTCTCTCTTGGATGACTCCTTGGATTCCGAAAGGAAAGAGCAGGCTAGTACAGTATTCCACAGCACAGTGCTTTTTTTCCTTTTTCACAAGGCCTTCCTTACTCTTCACAACCCTCAGAAATAGTCCTCACGGGGTAGGAAACGACCCGAGGCCATTGGCAGCTGAAGATAAACACAGAAGGCATAGCTTGAAAAAACGCTAAGGTTTTGCAAAAGGAAAGAACCTTACTTTCTACCTTTTTAAGGTCTTAAGGCTTTTAGCCACTGTGACGGGAACCCAGTCTACGGCTGAAACACAACAGGTTTTTTCAGTAACGCAGCCTGATCCCATCTACACACTGAAATACTACTCAGTGAAAATGTCAAAAGATAGCGTGATTCTCATTAAACTGAAACAGTTCAGTTCCTTCTTTAGTGTCAAGGTTCCACCAAAACATTGGCTCTATATAGCGTAGAAGGGATTCTGTAACAGCATCTGTAATTGACCAGAAATTGAGACAAATTTTGAGAAAAGCCACTGGACAATAAGCAGTAGGTAATTTATTCTGAGAGTTCATCTGCATGAAAAACTAACTATGCAGAGAAGTAGGCTGTAAATCTACATCAACTTCACACTCGATAGTCATGGGGACACCTGCTCACAACAGCTAAATTCACACTCACGTTTACTATGGAGTAAATCCCCTGGGTAGATGACCTCTGAGATTAGAACTGGAGCGATAAAAATGATCACTGATCAGTTTTAAATGCCAATGAAGTACACATTTAGAGTAAATTCTAAACAACAAGACAACTGCCGAAGCTAAATGATCTTACAATAAACTTGCCAACAGAAGTGATATGAATTCCTTTATCTACCTATGTAAAAAATACCATTTACTGCGCAGCCCGGATTTAAATAAAAGAGAAACAGTCTATCAATAGTATTTACTACACATTTACACGTAATGCTGTGGTGAAATGAAGGCGTCAATTAACATTATGTTACATAAAGAACAAAAGCCTTTAAAGGTACCGGTACCTTTCAGATTATCACGTTTATGGAACTGTTTGCTTACATCTCAATGATCTATCATTCGATGAGCCAACATGAGGACACAGACAAACCAAGCCTTGAACTGGAGCGTATGCTGACGTGAAACTCCCTTTTCAGCAAGACACTTCCAGGGCACCAACGTGAAGCACGTAAGCAGCACTGGTTTCAGTACGATAGAACTTAAATGCGCACCCCAGTGCCCCGTTTGACGGGATTCCACTGACAATCAACGAACTACAACAGTTATAAGCACACAAGGGGAGGTATCATATACCTTCTTGAGTGAACACGTATACCTTACTTAAAGGTCAATCATAGCTGGTTGCCCATGGCCAGTTACTGACTTACCAGACAACAGAACCACCCTTTTAATTTTATATACACCAACACAAAAGCCTTCTGTTATGTGATGCTTTGAACATTATTTGGAATTAGCTCTTTAATAAGAGCTATACCAATTTGGGTACCTGATGTTTCTGCTAGCTAATCAAGCTGCAAGGGAAAATTTTATACTCTTTACATATTGCTTGAGAAATGGTAATATTACACTGCTTAAAGTTAAACATTATTAAATCACTTGAGAACTGGAAGTTGTATATAATGACACAATCGTTTTCTTAAATTGGCAGGATATATCCATGCTAGTGAAATATTGGCAAAATAATCAACATTAAAAAATTAAAATTATAACTTCAAAATTATCAGCCAGCCAGCCATGATAAAAATTCTAATCTGCTCTCTCCCTTCGTTTATCCTCTCCCAGAATAAAACTTTACAGAGGACAAGAGGGAATGATGTGACACCTTGCCTTTGTTAATCCAGTTAGTAAAGCAGATGTAGGTTCAAGTATTTAAGTCCACACAGAAGTAATAAATAGAAGTAAACAATCAGGATGAGAATATCATTGTAGTTAAAAGTACTATGAAAAACCTTTGTTTCTGAGTGAGCACCATTATTATATTACGCTATTATTTTGGAACTCCCGAAGGCAAAAAAAAAAAAAAGAGAAATCTTGTTGATGAGAAATGTACTCAGACCAGAACACATGCAAGCCTACAGAGAATGTTACAAAACTGGACTGAAGAATTAAGGTTTTTTTCCTGCAAGTTTTAGAAAGCGTTATCTGTAGTTTATGTCTACGTTACAATTTTTGCTCTGCATGTAATTGGAGCAAAACGTTACATCTGTGTTTTCACTTCCCATATCCTGAGGGCCACACACACCCCCTCCTAAAGTAGAACACTGATGGTTTGGTTACAAAACTATATGCAGTACATTTCTGAACACAGTTCCTTCCATTTTAGGCCACATGTTCATTCAAAGACATTCTTATCAATTACAAGCCTCCACTTCAATTGCTTAAGATCCAATAGAAAAGCAAATATACAAATATCAGAAGTGCTGATCCTGAGATGAAGTATGGGAAATTCTGGTCCAGTTTGATCCTTATTCAAACTTCTGTTTCAGTTTCTTCTGGAAGACAGCTGGTAGGATGGAGAGGATGGCTAGAATCATGAGAACAAAAACAGAGTTCCAGGAAACAGCTTCCCCTGCTGTTGTAAGTTGGTACAGCGTTGTTCCAGCCTTAATGGCCACAAAAGACGGTGGTGCCACACCTGGAGCAGGGAATTAGAAGGGTAGAAGGGCAAAGGAAAAAAAAAAAAAAAAATCAGCTTGATAGGGTGAAAAAACAGAAAAAAAGTCATAAATTAAGCATCTAACTTTTAATACCAAAAATTTCAGACTTTGTTGCCTTGCACTTTTTTTTTAAAAAAAGGTGTTAGATACAAAATTCAAAACCAAAAAACCCTTATCAAAAGAACTAGTTTTATGCCATTTTTAGTATTTTTAACCCCAACTCAAACACAGTAGACTACAAAAATAATCTCTGCTCTTTAGACTCTGCAGATTTCAAGTTGCCTCTCTACAAACAGATTTAAGTTCATATAGGAAAAATACAGATTGTTTCCTAACCAGATTAAAAAGTATTTGCAAAATATGCCAATTACAAAACTGAAGTGTTTAGTACTATGTTAGTTAAATTATGAATTCACTCCTAGGAGGATACATTATGATGAATAAAATGGAGTGGGAAGGGGAGAACCAATCCTTCAAATCCAAGTCACATACATCCTCACACAATTATGCTGGAAACAGGAGCTTACAGAAGTTCACGTAAGTATTAATAGCTATAGAGTGGAACAAAAAGTTACTAATAAAGCGTTCGTCTAATGTATGTTTCCTTAAGCAGGTAATTAGCTTGGGCTCATTACCTCTGATCCAGTACATCAGAATAGTCCTGACTACCAAAATCTTTCCATGCTCTAAGCTCCACACAAAATTCTTGTGTAATCTCTCAGCTGCCCAGTAGGTGGTCACCTCTCCTGAACCACGCATACAGGCAGAAGCAAGCAACGTCCCAGACTGCAGTTCACTAGCCAGAATTCTTACCTAGAAAAGTGCCAATAAAAAATACTTTCAATGGCACATTAATTACAGGAGATGTTATATTGATAAACCAATTTGGAAGAAAAGGTGTTATTCTCAAAAATATTATGTAGTTAATGAGGTGTTCTCTGTGTCGTTCAACCTGCCAAAACAAAAGCAAAAAAAATTCAGTAAAAATCATTATTTTACTACTAGAGGTTTGTCAGGGCTTTTTTTGGTGCATCTTTTGTAGACATTTACAAGTGGCAAACATAAGAATCAGTGAAACAATAAGTGACTCAAGAAAGTCAGTGAATCACCTGTTAGACAGCACTGAAGTTAGTCTGGAAATACCAGTCTCTGGTAGAGCATGGTGATGATGTGTGTGAATCAGCCAACTTAAAACAGCTCACAAGGAATTCGGCACAGCAGCAGGCCTAACCCTAAACTGTAGCACAGCAACCTCTGCCTAACTGTAGCCCAATCAACACGGCCAGCTTGTCGTCCTGACCCTAAAGCTTTTGCAGAAACTTGCAATGAAGTTTGCTCCCCAACCCATTCTGTCCTAACTCATGATCAAACTTGAAACACAGCTGTGTTCCTCACCTGGATATTTAGCCAGGTCATGGCTCAGAAGTCCATCAGGTGGCTGCATAGTTGCAAAACCTATCCACCCAGACATTAGAATGCCTAGCATTACACAGGAGCAACCACAATAGCCCCAACTTTAGTTACAGTCTTAATTATACCCTCAAGCCTAGCTGTAACCTCAAACCAAGTTATAAGGGTAGCAAAGCATCCACCACTTCTGGCCTATCCTGGCAGACCTTCACTAAGCCTAAGCCTAAGCCTAAACATGGTCATCTGGCCCCAGCTGAAACCAAACCTAGTCCGATTCCAATTCCATCTGAAATCTCACACAGCAACTCACTGCAGTCACAATCCTGGTTTTCCCCCCCAACTTTAGCTTTAACTGCAACACTAAAGTCAGCAGCTCTGCTACTTTTCAGTAATACCACTGTGGGTTTTTTTAATTTTAGTGAAGGACAAATATCTAAACATTGATTCATCCTGTATACAAAACGTCTTAGATCTCAAAATGCAAACATGATATAGCCCAATTAACCTGGAAACAGAAAGATACGAGCTGCACATGTAATTACATAATTTTAAATCACATACCCTGTTCTACAAATGGAAATAGTAACCATTTGCCACTCAGAGAATAGCCTCAACATTATACTGCGATACTAAGATTTCTTGGGTCACAAGCCAAAAATACTACTACTCCACATCTTATCTAGTGAGGAACAAGTTTTAAATGTTTTTATGCAATTCAAAAATCTTGAACAAAGTACAGTAGTTGTCCTTCATACTTGAAAAAACAATGTATGCTTTTTTGAACATGCTTCAGACTATCAAAGCAAGTGGACAAATGCTAATCACACTACGATTTAGTATTGCAAAATCTTTAACTTCATCTGACGATTAACACTTGCTGAAACTAATGTTACCAGATACTGTAAGAGAAAGTTTTTAAATGCTCCAGCCACAGCAACAACTTCAAATTAAGGTTTTGCAATCAGACATACAGCCTCGGGTTTTCTTCCCCTACAAAAAAACCCCACACACGCAGCTTTCATTAGTTCTGATGCTCAGAGAGCTACTACTATAACTTGAAACTGGAGAGGTTTCCTATTGACATTAGCTAAACAGGGAGGTTATCAGCTGCAAACTCTTCCTAGGTAAAAACAGCTTCCTCACAGGAAATACCATAAAACTCCCCACTGTTTAAAACCACTCAGAGATAACTACACAGTGTCAGAAAGGAGCCAAAATCCTTTCTTTGTAAATAGATACATGAGCACAAGACCCCCTAGTTTTCCATGCTATTCCACAACACATTTTCTATCATAAATTTCAGCACTTCTAGAAACTTTACCTGTTCTGACCATTTTACTGCTTTTTCTGTTAAATATCTGTATACAACAGGACGTCCCACAAGGTATGAAAGCATATAGCAGAATGAAGCTCCAAGTCCTGAGCACTGCAAAACGAAACAAAAAGAACAAACCAAAAAAGAACAAATGAGGAGCAACTCTAATCTCAGCCTTACATCCCTATTAACCACACTGGCTAGATAGAGCCCCCCTCCATGGGGCCCTCCATCGAGGCTGAAGGGCTCTCCTCCAGCAGTATGTACACACTCACTAAGAATGTTGTTGATCCAAGACAGTTCCTTTATTTCCAAGGCATTTAGATCAATCTCAACATTCGAAGTAGACAATGTTGGCTACTTCTCAGTTGAGTGCTTCTGCTGTTTTATTTTTGAGATTTTGAACAATGAAAGCTTCGCAAATAAGTGGCACAACAGCACTGAAGAAATTCAAACTTGAAAAATTCATCACCTTGACCCTCCATACCTATTCAATTATCTCACTCTTACGTACTACAGCTCATTATGACTGCATCTTCTGTACAAGAAATTTTTTGAAGCTTGTCCATAATATCCATTTCCTATCTTGAGCTTCTTGGGTATATCTTGTGCTTCTTAGGTCATTTAAAAACAGATGCATTTTGCAGTGCGATAATAAAAATGCAGTAATCGTGTTCTGAAATTACAATTGGGTTCTGGTGGATGCTACACAAATTTAAAGGAAAGGGAACTCTGGCTGATTCACACTCAGATGCCTCCATTATTAAGAAAACTCTGAGAAACAGTTTAGTCTTTTGGATCATCACCCAATGCTACAGGGAATTTCATTCCTCAAACTAAAGTACACCCCTATTTCACTCAGATTCTGATCATTTGAACAGGAAGCTGTTCAGATGCTTGGCTGTATTCCAACCAGATAGAAATATATGCCCATGCACTATTGTCCATACTTACCAGACAAACAAGAAATAAGGCCAGTGGAAAGGGATACAGAAACCCTGACAGGATACTGAGAAATATAGACCCAGGAATAGCAAATGTTTGCAAGCTAGGTGCATCTTAGTTAAGAAAAAAAAGCCATTTTTTAAAAAGCGACCCAATTCTGAATTTTATAAGCAGTCAGGACATATACTACAATTTGAAAAAGCATAAATATAAGTAGGTATAGCCTCTAAAGATCTTTACTCCAAAATACATTTGTAGGTAGCACAAGAAGCCCAAACACAGAAAAACAAGGGGTAGATTCATCATTACATGTACAAAAAAAAAGTTAGTAAATAATAAAAGCTGTACTACATCTTTCTCTTTATCTGGGTATTTATCGTGACATTACAGAAAACACGTACTTTGGTTTTACACTGTTGACTGGAGATACACAGATTTCAGATATTCTCTCTGAAAAGTTCACAGAACTGTTCAAGCCCAGAACTACTAGGAGTTTCATGGAAGACTGACATGTACGAAGACAACTACTACTTCCTTACAAATAGGCGAGCTGCAATCACTAGATAATTAGGACACACGATCACTAATTTCAGTCAGAATTTTTCAAAAAGGTAAAAAATTAAGTTTCTGTGGCATAAGCGAATAAGCTGTTGAGCTTAAGGCTTGCTAGGCGTACTTGAGACTATGATGTATTGCCCACTTCAGACAGAAATCTTAAAAAGCAGGAAAAAATTGCACACTATTTTATCCAAGTTAAATTGACTGAAGTATCAAAAACCCAAATAATCTTCCTTTGTATTGAGTCCATCACAACCCGTACAGCTTTTGCTGAACAAGTGTCAAGGTTCTAAGATAACTGTAACATGCTTGTCAGCTGATCACAGTCTACTGCTGAGACAGTAAATGTCATCACATCAGCTGCTACAGCCGTTCAATAAACAGCCAATTCTGTTCTACTACTTGTACTTTTCTTCATAAATCTATTATTTGTGAACTACACTTAGAAAGAACGAGCTAGAGGATAATTACCAATGGCACATCCAGCGCTGATTTTTCTCTGAGTTATGAAAGCCCCCTGCATTGAACTATGAAACAGACCTCTTGTACAGCTTTTAAAAGTTATTAACCTTTAGTTAAGTGTTCCAGTTAAGAGTGTGTTTAATGATTAATTAAAATATTCAGCACTCAGGAAAAAGAAGTTAACACGGAACACAGGTAGCCTTTGTGTCTCCCTAGGCAGAAAGCACCTCAAATTCAGGCACTCCGAAAGGAAATATTCATTTCTTGAACGCAGGCACTGAAGAGATGAAAGAAGGCTCAAAATGCTTTCCTCAAGAAATGTTGTAAAATATCCTGTAAATTACTTTTATATGGTACTTCTGAACATCTCAAAGAAGAACAGTGCAGTAGTCTCAGTCTTCCTCTAGAATCAACAGTAATTTCTAACTGGCAATTCAGTTTGCAATTAAAGAAGTTAGTATAGCACTGAGACGAAGTCTAATATCAAACCTAAAAATCTTATCCGTAACAGACACAGTCAAGGTGAAGCTGCATGCAAATCCCCAACAGCACTTACTACTATACACACATGCATCAATTTCCTCCTACTCAATCCCTTCTTAATCCTACAAGCATACTGAAAAGTTCAAAGATTTTGTGTACTTGTGTCTATTTATAAACACACCTAGGTATGTTAGCCTCCTTCACCCATGATCAAGAGTTTCTAAGTTTGCATTTCTCATTTCTTTTTCAGTGAAATATGACTACATCAAAACTTTTATATCAGAAAAAAGGATACAAAACATATGTGGCAAAATAAGCCACTAATACTTGAACATAAAACGTGTCCTTATATTTGGACAGGACTTTTCCCAAGGCCTTTGCATCATCCATGTCTCTAGGAACCTTTATACATTCTCTTTCTTCTCTGGAAGAAAAAAAAAAAAATGGCAGGAATGGTGGTAAATATAACCAAACAGTACAGTAAAATTACTTACTGAATATATAGATAGATACTTCACATCACTAAACTACAACCTCTGCAAACAAACTACACGATTATTGTTGTGATAATGCTCTAGGGTGAACACAATATTTACAGTGTATTTTGTGTTAAAAAAATCCTCAATTTTAGATATTGGCAAACCATATTGTTTTGTACATTAAAATAATCTGCTTCATCTCTAGGATTATTTTTTCTCCTTATCAAATACTAAACAAAAAGAAATAATTACTCAATCCAAACCCTGGCAACTAATCAGTGGTCAACGTTTCAGCCAAAACCAACTGTAACTGCCTCGACTATAGGGTCATAACATTTGAAGTGCAGCAAGAGTGGCAGAGCTTTACCTCACGAACAAACAAAGCTTTAAGAGCAAAATCTCATGTCACACCTTAAGCTGGTGCAACCCTGGGCAGCCCAGTTGAGTGTCCTCTCTTCCTCTGTATCAGACTTAGTGATTGGACTGTTGCAAACTGAACTTGTTGAGCAAGTTAATCAGACAGAAAATTAGCTACTAAAAGAAAAAAAGAAAATTGTCAGACAAGCAGGCTTCCATCTTGCCAAGCTATCTACCTTCCCAACACGCGTACCAGACGCAACAGAAAGGGGAAAAAGAAGACGTGAAGCTTAGCCAAGAAGGAAGGGTGCCCCCTTTTGATGACAGCCTGCAGTTGTACCAGTGCACGAGGAATTTTAAAATAAACCTAGCCCTAACCAAGCACGTTTTGGCTCTCAGCTGAAGGTTAAGAACACAGTGAGTTATCACTGCTAATGTGACGGGAGTAACTTTTCAAAACGCAGTACCTCAACCGTCCAACAGAAACGCTTGGTTGAGTACAGCTCTGCTTACACAGATCCCACCAGTGAGTATTTCAATATTAAGCTTTGTATTCTGACATTCGAGGTTATAAACTCAAATTCCCTTTTAAAAAAAATAAGGTTATATCTATAATTAACTCATGTCAGTTTAAAACACACTTAACCCCATGTAGGCTCCTCTACAATTTGATACTGAACAAAAAGCAAATAAATCAGCCTTTCCTGACATACTTACTCACTAAGCTGTGGGAAATTTTTATATACCAGGAACATAAGGAAAGCAGCTGATAAGAAGACGGACACTAAAATAAGAAGTGATGTCCGAGCTGATCCACCTTCTGCCTGAGCTTTCCCTGAAATTAAACAAAAACAGAGTTAAGAAAAAAACAACAACAAACCCATCACATCTTACAACAGATTTCAGACTTTAAGGAAATGTTAAGGTAAGCTCTCTGTGGACATAATCTTCCCACCAATACTTTCAATAACATATACAAACACATGGCTCACATTCCCTGAAAGCTTTCAAACAAATCTTAAGTTCTTACGCTGGCACACATCCCATAGGAGTCAACTTCCATGGTTCATAATAATTTAAGCCTCAATTAATAAATAAATTTGTAGAGAGAAAAATGGAGGAAAGTAAGCCGTACATATTTTTTCCTTTTTGCAAGACATCTACCAGTCTAGTTAACTAGAGATTTAACTTGAATTTAAACCTCCAGTCTGTACAACACAACTTTGAAACATGCTCTCTTTTTTTTTTTTTTCCCCTCCAAAGAAAGACCATGAGGCACAACCACTAACCAGTTAGGAGACACACACTCATCAGAAGAAAACATATGTACACACGCACAACAGCCAGGGATATAAAGATTATAGTTCTCAGACTTGGGAATTACACATATTTCACACTCACATAAAGAGACTTCTCTTGGTTATATTTAAGTTTTTATTAGTCTTTAAATTCTTCTGTCAATGAAGTCAAGGGAATACAATACATGACAATTACACTGTAGGCTTCTTCCATACTTCAGATTTTTAGCAATACGATCAGACATATGCAATACACTGATTAGCTCAGATGTGGCTATATGCAAAAATAATTTTAAAAAAAAAGAAATAAACAGGAAGATCTCTGCATCCACCCTAGGCTGTCTGTGTGCACCTATCAGGACACTCTCCCCTCGGACCCTGCTAGGCCAGCACACGTGAAGAACACAAGAACCGCCAAGGCCGTGTTTCCAGCCGCACATGCCGGTGGCACAACTACCACGCCAATGCACAACACTCAAGCGGGTCGCGCTGTCACCTCGCTGTGGCGAAACACAGCGAGGGATGACGAAATCCGCGGACTGAACAAAGCCGGGCAATTTTACTCCCTTGAACGTTTTTCGCTCTGAGGTCAGCGTGACCCCACAGCTGTGCAGTGGCTCTGCTAAGGCCAAAGGCGGCATCCATGTAGCACTTAGAAGCATCAACTCCTCACCGGTTGTTAGTTTAATAACATCTTCTCCAGAGAGAAAAAATAAATAGTAATTTAAACAAAATAATATTTAGAGAACGAAAAAGGAAAATACAGCACTTTCTGCCACTTTTTGTGCTACAGCTGCGCCGGTAATGGAATCTCTCTCACACACACCCACGACCCCACGGGTGTTTCCTCACTACAGACACACGAACCCACGCGTGTTTCCTCGCTAGGGTGTG